AGTCAAAGGTGGAATTCTTTTCTAGACATTTCCTGACATATGCTATGAGAGAGTCAAAGAGATACCTTGCTTGATCTGCCCATACAAGCCACAGGGAGCAATGTTTATGATTGAACGTGCCTGCATCATTATGTTTGTTATATTATATTATTGTATTCCCTTCCAAAGTCTCCAGCTGAAAAATGATATTTACAAATTACATGCTCAGGTAAAACTAAACGTAGCACTTCTAGAAGGAACTCGTGATGATACTGAGTTCTGTGCGAAGCTGGCCAAAGAGGAATCTGTTATCATTTTACCAGGTACTACCTCCGGTCCTAATTATAAGACCCAGTTGACTTATTTGAGGAGATTAAGAAAGTAAGTTAAGTTAGTTATTTGTAATAAATAAGTGTTGTCATTCCTAAAATATCCTTGCTAATTAAATGTATTGGCTAAAACTATCATTATTAGAAGGACTATCTTGGAAAAAAATACATAAATATGAGAGAAAAAATGGATTGGGGTCTTATAATTAGGACCAAATAAAAAGTCAAACGGGGTCTTATATTAAGGACCGGAGGTAGTATGAATTTATCATGAATCCCACTATTTTTAAGAGAGTTACCTTTAAAGAAAGGCTTTATAAGGCGTTGGGTTCTCTAACTCCGACAGACAGCTTTTGGTGTGTGCTTCTTCGAAGAACTTGTTATTCTCACCGAATTTTACAACATTCTTTTCTGTAATCTCACAACATTATTCAATTGGCTCAAAACTCCACCTGGATCGCTGGAAGTTAAGTGTGTGTGTGTGAGAGAGAGAGAGAGAGAGAAATATATAACAAGCTCGTGTCTATTGCAGGCACGGCTGTGGGACTAAAGAACTGGTTACGCATAACTTTCGCAATTGAATGTCCAGCACTTGAAGAGGGACTCGAGAGAATTAGAGTCTTCTGCCAAAGGCATTTGGATCTTATTTCATTGCAGTACTATGTGATCATCAACAATGCATTGGATCTCATCTCATTCTGTCATATTGCAATAATATTAATACGTGAGATTCCTTAATAGAGAAGGGGGTGTGATCACTAATCAGCGCCATACGTTGGATCACAGATCACGCATTAGCTTAAGAGGTTTTGTTTGAGTTGTTTTGTTTCTTTGTTTGCTGTCACTGGTTGTGCTTAGGAGTTAGGATGCTTCATAAGGTTTCTTATTGATGAAGTGCTCTCAGCCATGAATCATCAAGCAATCGCAGTCTTACCGTTAAATTGATTTCGCTGGAGAAAATGGCACCCAATGCAGACTCTTCGTCTTCTTCTTTCTCTGCAGAAAATTTCGGCATGCTGCTCTATTTCTCATTACTCTCGCTGGAAGACAAGGATTACACACTTCACGGCCTACTTGTTTGTTTTGACTTAAAATAATTATCTGTATGCTTTACAATTGATACAAAGAGGATCAAATCATCATATGCTCTATAACAGAAGAAAACTGATCGAATGCAATCATTATTTTGAGCTTATTAAAACAAATAGATTCAGAAATCAGAAAGTCATTCAGCTTGGTCTTTAATAATTTAGCCGACATTTAGGTCTCATAAAGCACGCTCTTGCGTTGGAGGGAAAAAAGGTACGTTCTTGCACTATCTCTTATTTATTTATATATATATATATATATATATATATACATACTCCTCCGGTCCTTAATATATGACCCAATTCTTGAGTTGGTTTTGGTCCTAAATATAAGACTCATTTCTCATATTTATCAATTTTCTCTAAATTATCCCTATGGATACCCCTTCAACTATAATCAAGTAGAAGAGGGGGAGGAGGTATTAAGAAAGATGATTATAGTGTTTTAGGAAAAATGTGTCACTTTTCTTATAATTAACTAACTTACCTAATTTCCTTAATATAATCAAATTAGTTAAATGAGTCTTATATTAAGGACCGGAGGAGTATATATATATAGAAAAACATTTATGTCATTAGATCAGAAGTTCGTCGGTCATTTAATTGTCTTTTTCTTTTTCTTTTTGGTCCCTTTTGCTATGAATGGCTTCAATATAATGGGCTTGGTAAGTGGACCAACTCGTGGGCATTCATAAGGCTAATCCAATTTAGCTCTCCAAATATAGAATTGGGTAAAATAAGCCCTTTTGTTTAAGCTCTGTCCCGTAAAATATGAGAAAAAAAATATGGAGGAGAAAAAATGGACGAGGTAAAAGGTGAGAAGTTATTTTCTACTCTTATATTTGGATGGGCAGGGAAAAATATCAGGGAGAGAAAAGTAACATATTTCATAATGACAACAATACCTTCATTAAACCATAAAAATCTATTCATAACTAAAGAACCAATTTAATTTTTTAATAAAATCTGTGACATATATTTAAAATTAAATACCTTTCTCTTTGTGTTATACAAAATTTAAGAAGTGAAAAATTTGCAGGGGTGTTGAAATTTTTAATAAAACCTGAGTCTTATTCATTTTCAAAATAAGCGTCGGTTTTTGTATAAAAAAAGTGTCAGTTTAATAATATAATTTTTTTAAAGAACCTATAGGAGGTACTAATTTATTTTTAACAAAATTCAAGAAATTTCTATTTCATTTATAATTTATAGTTTTAATATAAGTACTATTATTATTATAATTGCAATTTATATGGGAATTTTATTAACATAAGAAAAAACGATAAGAAAAAAATTATACTATCAGGATTTGCAAACGTGAGTTGAATGGATATAAATTAAAATAGTAGCTAATACTCCTCTAATACTTAATGTAGGATCTAATTAATTAATTAGATTTGTCCTTTATAAAATACCTTAAGTATCTTTTTTAATTTCATCTCTCCCCCTCTACTTATATCAACAAGGTTAATTTAAAAAAAATAAATATATAAAATAGATCTTATATTAATTCTTCAATTAGGTCATACATTAAGAACGGATGTATAATAGAAGCACACGTCTGCATTAAGAATAACCATACGTACATAGTTACGGACAACAAGCACGTATAATTCGAGTCTACTACTAAAGAGACAAGTTTTATATTGAAAGACATGTCAAACGAGTAAATAATGTCAGAAAAGTTTGAACAATGCCAATAAGTCACTATCTCATTGACCTTGATCATGATTCTGTCAAAAGACGATATGATTAGCAATAATTTTCAGTATATGGTGAAATCATTACTCCAGTAGTTTGAAGCTTGTATTTGACAGTTTCAAAATTAAAGCCATGACAGCAACATATGAATGGCCTGAGAAAGCAGCGAGAAATGATACTAACATGAGAGACAGTTTATAATCCAGATTGAACCATAACCAAATGTTATATTAAGAACAAGAGCTAGCGTAACAGAGCTCTCGTTCCGAAACACAGGAATACGAATGTCTAGTAGGCGAGTAACTTGAGCGCACAGGCAAAAATGACATCAATTATTTTTTTTTGGGCCTAAAAAATGGCATCAATTATTAACTGAACTAGTGTTTGAAGCCCCGCCAAACGGGCCAGAAGAACCCTCCCCAGTCCTTACCTGCCTACTTGTCTGGCCATCCCTTCCGTACCTACCTATCTCTCTGGCTGTCCACTTGTTTGGACTTATTTGAAGCTACGTTCAAAATAGACTTTTAAGTAAGTTTATGTAAGTCGAGACAAAACTCTCCTAATATAATTATCTCATATTCTCATATTTCGTAAATCACATTTAAAAAGCTACTTATAAGTCAATCCAAACAAGCCTTTCATCTTTGGGTTCCCCAAAGATAAGTAATTATTGCTCAGTTAAGATAATTTTACGATGCCCGAGATAAGTATGTAAGTACTCCTCTAGTTCTATTTATAAGACATTTTCAATATGTTTTATATAGATCAAGAAAAAACTTAAATTGCATTAACTCTTCATTAAAATACAGTAGTTTTTTAACTTTATCTCTATTTAATATATACACTTTTCAAAAAAATAACTATTTTTACTTCATAATATAGTATATTCAAGGTAAAAATTTAATAAAGTGATTTATAAATAGGACAAAAAAAAACATTTTATCTCTGCCCTATAAATAAGAGCAGAGGAGTATATGATGATAAGATTTTTGTGCATGAGTGAGCCATGACAAATAGCTGAAAAATAATCTATCAGTCCCCCACCAATCATTATGGCTATGTTTCAATTAGTACCGTGAGAGTAGATTTTAAATAGAATTTATTTATAATTATGATTTTAAGAATTATTTAATTAGAATCAATTTATATGATTGATTTTGTGTGTGACTAAAAAATAAAATTGAAAAGATAAAATTATGGTTTTCTTACAAAATATCCAAACATTCTTTACACATGTTAAAATTAATCTTAAATCTTAAATTATGATTATCTCGTACGCTACCAAACCCTCTTATGCATGCTATATTCCAAGCTAAGCCGCCACTGTAAATGCCAAAATTGAACAGATCTTCCGACAAAAAAGGGAAAAAAAATTGAACAGGTCTTATATTAAGAATAGGATGCAGTAATTATCTTATAAACTATTATTATTTGCATTTTAATATATATATTTTTAGAATTTTCTTCAAACACTCTATTTTCATTAAATCAATTATGTTTTTATAATTTTTATTTTACTCAATGCCCAAAAATTAGCAGTAAACACGACTGATGATCCCATAATTTGTTTTAATCTTTTTTTTGAGCTGATAATTTATTTTAAACGTGATCTCACAAGTATTCCAATCAATTATGCAAATATGATTGATGACCTCATAATTCATTTAAACATGGTCTCATAATTTATTTTAATCAATATACGGGTATTTTGTGGAGGACCGCATAATAAACGATTTAATCATGATATGAATATTTACGTGAAAATTGCCAGAATCAAAGTATTAAATAGATAATTCCTTACCAAAAAAAAAAAGTATTAAATAGATAATTAATTTCTAAATGAGCTGCCAAACAGTCACGGATCCATATCATTAGATATGCCCGAAGTCCATAAGTCAAATCACTCAAAAAAGGCTGGTAACGAAAAATCACTCAAAAAGGAAAATAAAAAATATCCCTCTCTTTCTCTATATATATCTGCTCGTGCGCACACATGCACAAAGGCTTAGCGGGGGGGACACAGAGAGAGAGAGAGAGCTGAAGCTGCAGAGATCTGCAAAAGAAGATTATGGAGGCTAATGCATCAAGCAAGTGGCGTTTCCAGGCGAACCAGGAGCTGATTGCAGCATCTTCCCGATCCTTACGAAACGTCGTCATCTCTTTGATGGATATTTCACGCAGAGAAGAAAAAAGGCCGCTCATCCCTCTCGCCCACGGCGACCCTTCCGTATTCCCCAGCTTCCGAACCACGGTCGCAGCGGAAGACGCCGTCGTCAACGCCATTAGGTCTGGCGATTACAATAACTATTGCAAAAGCCTCCATGGTCTTCTTCCGGCAAGAAGGTAACAAACAAAAGCAATTTCCCCCGACCTTTCTCCCTATCTTCTTATTTTCCATTCTCGAAATCTCTGGTAACCTACGTTCTTAGTGAAAATGACGTGACGTAAGAGCACTGAAAGTTTAAAGAACGGTGATCACTTGTTTTTAAAAGGTTGAGATATAAGAGAATTAGAAAGACGCCAATATATAAGACAGACGAAAACGCAAGCGCCGGAATTATTCCTTGGCACCCCTAGTCCCACGTCGCCCTGAAGTCTTGACTCTCGTAGAGTTTAAATTTCTTTTTGCTACTTCATGCTCACAAGCTAGTTTTTAGATTAGACTATGGAAGTTAGACCACAGTACCGGAGTTTTAGATGAAGAGCGTTGGAATGAATGGTAAGTCTTATATCACTTGGCGATATGGTTTAAATATCTTTTAAGTACAGGTACAGTTGATGGATCCAAAAGCCCATTTTTGTTACCTCCCATTCACAAACTAATTTTTGGGTTTAACTTAAGGGCTATCCTTTTTGTATCTCTTATCCAAAGAACCAACGTCAAATACTAAAAAAAAAGCACACGTGATTATTTTTTAATTATGTTTTTACAGCCTCATCATTAATTTTTTATGACAAAATATGAATAATGAGTCATTAAGCTAAGTGCTATTTATTTGGCGAAAATGTTTAGCTAGAATTTATAGTACTAAAAAACAAATTTTTTAACAATTAGGTTTGTAAAAATTTTTACTAAAAAAATAAATTGTAAATATGAAACCTTTCATTACGAACCAGGAGATTTAATTATTATCAATTTATGATTTGCCATCAAAATTTTTTGTGTTTGCAAATACCTGAATTAATTTCTTTAGTAAAATTTTTTTGAACCTAACTATAATAAAATTTTGAGAGCTAACCGTGTCATTCTCCCACAAAGTCTTGGATACAAAAATAAAAGAAAAAAGTTGTGTTTGAGACTCCCAATAACAAATTAACAAGAACGATACAGGGCACTAGCAGAACACCTATCGCGAGATTTGCCATACAAGCTATCACCAGACGACGTGTTCCTTACCTCTGGATGCAAGCAAGCCATTGAAATAGTTACAGCAGTGCTAGCTCGCCCTAATGCCAACATTTTGCTTCCAAGACCTGGCTACCCTGATTACGAAGCTTACGCTATGTTCAACCATTTGGAGTATCGCCTGTTTGATCTTATACCAGAAAAGGGCTGGGAGGTTGATCTTGAAGCTGTCCAAGCTCTCGCAGATGACAATACCGTGGCTATGGTCATCATTAACCCTGGCAATCCTTGCGGAAATGTTTACACTCGCCAGCATTTGATGAAGGTACTCAGATTCTTGGCCTTTTAATTCTTAAAATGGATTGGATTTAAAAAAAAAAAAAAACTACTTAAGTGCGACGTAACAATTAGTATGCAGTCAATAAAAAAACCTGATCTGTTATTCATTAGGTGGCAGAGACTGCTAGAAAGATTGGGATCATGGTGATTTCTGATGAAGCTTATGCTTATCTCAACTTTGGGGCAAATCCATTTGTTCCAATGGGAGCTTTTGCATCGATTGCTCCTGTCATCACACTTGGATCTATATCTAAGAGATGGCTTGTTCCTGGCTGGAGACTCGGTTGGCTTGTTGCCAATGATCCTAATGGCATCCTAGCAAAAACTGGGGTACTGTCTCTTTCTGTGTGGGCCTTAACTCTATTTATGTGGCTTAGCAAAGCTTCCGGGTGATATTGAGCTATACTGATCTTTTCTTCTGCTTCGAATTGAATTCATTTGCATATTTAAGGTTGTCGAAAGTTTAAAATGTTGCCAAGTCATGACATGCGATGCTGCCACTTTTCTTCAGGTATATATGCAACTTCCTTGTTTTGAGGTGATATCTAGTTTCATATACTTCCTCCCATTCATAAATATAATATCTTGGTTCACGTAGTCTTATGAGAGGTTTTTCAATAATGGGGATAGTTTACAATGGGGATATCAAAGAGGAGTTTTGTTGATAATCTCATTCTCCCTTGTTTGGTTTTGCCTTGTTTCCAGATGTTATGGGAATAACAGTTTCTTCCATGTTTGCTGTGTTAAATAAAACAGGGAGCATTTCCTGAAATGATTGAAAAGACAGAGGAGGAATTCTATTCTAAGATTATTAAGCTCCTAAGAGACACTGCTGACACATGCTATGACAAAATCAAAGAGATACCTTGCTTGTACTGCCCCTACAAACCAGAGGGATCAATGTTTTTGACTGTAAGTGCCTATATCGTTATTCTCTCTTGATCTATTTTATTTCCTTCTAAAGTCACTAGAAAAATGATAATTACATCCCCAGGTAAAACTAAACCCAGCACTTTTGGAAGGAATCGATGATGATATGGAGTTCTGTGTGAAGCTGGCCAAAGAGGAATCTGTCATCGTTTTACCAGGCATGAATTTTGCATCTTAATCTTCTTTTCTATGATATCATAACATCATTCAATTCCGTGAGTTCCAGTATTTTTCTCCTCGAAATCCTGGAAGTAAGTTTCTGCGAGCACATATAACAAAGCTCATGAATTTGCAGGTGTGGTTATGGGATTGAAGAACTGGTTACGCATAACTTTTGCAATTGAACCTTCAGCACTTGAACAAGGCCTTGAGAGGATTAGAGTCTTCTGCCAGAGGAATTCCAAGAAGTGATTTGGATCTCATTCTTTTGCATTATCAATGTATGAAACAACTTAATAAAAACCAGCGATGAACCCGTGCTTTGTACGGGATGTCATAAATAGTGAAGTTGTTATGTTAATTAACAAACTTTCTCATGATATTATATTTTTTCTGTCCTCAATATATGATATTATAGTCAATTTCTACAATAAAATGAATAGAGTTCTCACTGTAATGTTGCTTGACTCAAGAATCAAGATGCATTAATGAACCACAAGCCCACAAATCATGCAAGGCAAGAATGTAGTGTTTCTTTTTAGGGCCTTAATCTTTGACACATTGATCAAAATATTTTACATAAAGCCCATTTACTATTGGGCTAATAATCCATAACAACATTTAAAGACCTTTAACTAACGAGGTGTTTGGATGGAAACCAAATTATGATTTCAAAAGTGTTTTTACGGTTTACGAAGTAAATATGTGGAGGAGTTTGTTTCGTTTTGCGAAAAAGTATTTTTGAGAAGTGCTTTTGAGGGTTACCAAACACCCAGTAAGAATATTAACAAGTTGCAGCTTAGATTTTGACAAGTTGTTCTTTTAAGTATTAAAAAATTGTTGTCGAATTTTGACAAGATCTTTTGAGTGGCCTTTAACATTGATAACTTCTTTCTTGAATATTAGCAAGTTGGAATTCAAATTTTGATAAGTTATCATTTGATATTTTTTTAAATATACATTGTATTTTAGGAATATTGACAAGTTATTCTTTAAATTTTTACAACATCAATATGAGAGATTGGTAACATGTTCGATCCATAAAAAAGCTTGGAAGCTAAATTTATAATATATACTACCTAGTGGAGTTAGATAACTAATTTAAGAATATTAAAAAAATTAGTTGAGTTAGTTATACTTATTTATAATAAATGAGTTTTCACTTTCTTATAATACCTTTGTTAATTATGTATATTGAAATTATAACTTCTTAGTATGGATAATTAATAGAGATATTTTAAGAATAAAATAATAAATTGGAGAGACAAAGTAAAATGAGATTTTATATTAAAATCAAAGTGAATTCATTATTTAACTCTTATACTAAAAATTGGAAATAATATTACTTTTTTTTTTGGCGAACGGAGGTAATATTATTTTGCATATTGTAGCTAAATTCCAATCAAAACTGTTTTGTGAACCAAATATCACAGGTTTAAACTTTAAAATTCTAACTTCCTTGGTACCGTAGTTGACTTCATCCATGATGGTCTGATCAAAACGCTGTCAAAACTCTAGAGATTAGAGGTGATAATACAGGTTGAATTCGTAGATTCAACCTGTCAAAAATGACAAGTTATGGTTGACTAAAAGCCAATCCATCAGCAAGCAAATTTTTTTAACTCACACCGTCTGACCTACAACCCGCCGCGAGTTAATCCGCCAACTTACAGGCTGACCTGCATTTATTTCTTTATTTTTAAAATTATTATAATTATGTTATTATATATTATATTCTATCTAAAAAAATTAAAAAGTACCTATATAATTTATTTGGTGCTTTCAATGAAATATTTATGGAAAAAAAATAAAAATCTCATTATATTTTTTGAAATACTGAATAAAAAATTTAAAAAGTATCTATATAATTTATTTGGTGCAGACGCTTCGTCGTCTTCTTTCCTTGCAGAAAATTTCGGCATGCCGCCCTATTTCTCATTACTCTCAGTGGAAAACAAGGAGTGTACACTTTAGCCTGCTTGTTTGCTTTGACTTAAAATAATTATCTTTATGCCTTACAATTAATACAAAGAAGATCAAATCATATGCTCTATAACAGAAGAAAACCGACTGAAAATAATCATTACTTTCGAGCTTATTAAAACAAATAGATTCAGACATCAGAAAGTCATTTAGCATGGTCTTTAATAATTTAACCAACATCTAGGTCTCATAAGGTACGTACTTGCGCTGATGTATATAGAAAAACATCTATGTCATTGGATCAAAAGTTCGTTGATCATTTTTTTTTTGTCCACCTAGTTTACCGGAGCTTTGCTCCGACTACATCTGGATTCGACCCGCGTCGTGCACCCTTGAACTCGATACTTCGCTTAAACGGTATCAAGCCACTTATCACTTGGACCAACCCGTTGGTCATTTAATTGTATTTTGTTACTGCAATACAAGCAATGAAACAAGAATGCAGAGAAGGGCTTCAATAGAATGGGCTTGGTAAGTGGACCCACACGTGGGCATTCATAAGGCTAATCCAATTTTATATAGAATTGGAATAAGCCCTTTTATTTTAGCTCTCTCCAGTTAATTTGTGTAATTTACGAAGTCCTCCAAATGAAATCGCCGAAAAGAAAATGGAAGTGAGAGAGCATCACAAGAGATGAAATGAGTTCCTCGACTACCAAAAAAAATAAAAAATAAAAAAGAAACAAGAAAAGCGTAATTGCTGGGTTCTTCAAACATCCCTCTCCACTTTGAACCAAAAAAATCCCCTAAACATAAATTTTTTTTAATCGTAGGTTGTTTTCCTTATTAGTTTATATAATTGTTATTATAAGCCCCTAATAATAAATTTATAAATTAATAAAATTACTCCAAATTAGTTATTTATTATAAAATATCAAATTTATTCTCAATACAGATCATTGGCTAATAGTGTTAAATTAATTAATTAGAGACAGTGGATAAAAATATTTTAAATAAAACATATTATATTACGAAATAAATACATGATTCCTCCTCCCCAGTGGGTGAAATCCTATGATGTGGCAAAGACCAATGTTGTGTTTGGATGAAGGGAAAATATGACAGAAAAAAATGGGGAGAAGAAAAAAAAGGGGGAGCAAAAGGTGAGAAGTTATTTTCTATTAAACCATAAAAATCTATTTATAACTGAAGTAAAAGAACCAATTTAATTTTTAATAAAATCTGTAACAAATATTTAAAATTAAATACCTTTCTCTTTGTGTCATACTATCTCCTATCCTTAATATAAGAGCTCATTTGACTTTTATTTTGATCTTAAATATAAGACTCTAATTATTTATTCCTCATATTTGTCCATTTTTTCCCGATATAGTTCTTATAGTAATTATAATTCTAACCAATACACTTGATTAGCAATAATATTTTAGAAAAAATAATATATATTTATTATAAATAACTAACTTAACTAGTTTTCTTAATCTACTCAAATTAGTTAACTAGCTTTTATATTAAAGAATGATACAAAATTTAAGAAGTGAAAGATTTGCCGGAGTGTTGAAATTTTTAATAAAACCTGAGTCTTGTTCATTATCAAAATAAGCGTCGGTTTTTGTATTGAAGAAGTGTCAGTTTAATAATATAATTTTTTAAAGAATTTATAGGAGGTAATAATTTATTTTTAACAAAGTTCAAGCACTTTGTATTTCATATATAATTTATATTTTTAATATAAGTATTATTATTATTATTATTATAACTACAATTTATCTGGGAATATTGTTAACATACGAACAAAAGATAAGAAAAAACTATACTATTAGGAGTTACAAACGTGAGTTGAATGGATATAAATTAAAATATTAACTAATACTCCTCTAGTTCGTAATATAGGATCTAATTAATTAATTTGAATATAGTTAAATTAATTAATATAATATGTTCTTTCTAAAGCACCTAAGTATCTTCCTTAATTCCCTCCCTCCCTCCTTGTATCAAAAGGGTTAGATTGAAAAAAAAATTAATAAATATGTGAAATAAGTCTTACATATAGAATTAATATCAACTTTCTAATTAGATCATACATTAATAACAGAAGTATAATGTAAGTACACGTGTGCATTAAGAATAAACATACATACACAGATATTGAAAGACATGTCAAACGAGTAAATAAGGTCAGACAAGTTTGAACAATGCCAGTAAAAAGTGTTTGGATGTAGATCAAATTATTATTTCAGAAATGATTTTATTATATACAAAATAAATATGTAAAAAAGTGTTTTTAAAAAATATTTTTCTTAATTTCCAAACACCTGCTGAGTTATTATCTCATTAACCTTGATCATGATTCTGTCAAAAGAGAATATGATTGGCAACAATGACATCAATTTTTAACTGAATTAGTATTTGGAGCCCGCGGCTAAAAACAAATTTGAGGCTCCACCAAACCGGTCATGGGAGCCCTCCTCACTCCTTAACTGCCAACTTTTTTCCTACTTTTCTAGCCATCCCTTTCCTACCGGCATATCCCTCTGGCTGTCCTCCACATGTTCACCTTTAGGTTCCCCGGCTTTAAAAAAGGGAGAAAAAAAGAGGACCAAGAGGAAGAGGATATGAGCAATTATTGCTCAGGCAGAAATCCTTTTCCACTTAGATAAAAAATAATTAAATATACTTACGTACATTATTACTTTCTGTTTTTAATATAAAAATTATTTAAAAATTAAATTTGATTTTAAATATAAGACTTTGATTCATTTTATTTTTTTATTTTTTTTCAAAATATTCTTATTACTGTAAAGGGTTCTTACAAGAAGTAATTTCAATATACATAATTGAAAAAGATCGATATATATATATTTGTAATAAATAACTAATTTAACTAATGTTTTTAATATCTTTAAATTAATTATCAAGCTTTTTTTATTAACCACGAGAAGTAGTAGTTTGTAACTTTTATAACATTTGTTGACTCCCATGAAGTTTGATCAGTAAACTCCACACTCCAAGTGGATCGTTAAAACTTTAAAGGGAGAATTATAATGATATCTTAAGAAAAATATTTAATTATTTCAAAGTTTACTGATAACCACAAACCATGTAATGACAAGGTTTTTTTTTTTTTATTAGAGTTTCTCGATAATTAAATTCCTTTCTTGAGATTTCAGGATAATTCTCTCAACTCTAAATTTTGTTTGCTTCTTAATCCTATGCGCATTCCTTTTTTCTTTTTTAGAAAAGTAAAAGCCTGTCAAACACCCCACCTCATATATACATCATTTTGATATTTAATATAAGTCACTTGTAATATATTCTCATAGATTAGGAAATACATTAAATTAACAATTCTTTAATAATTTTTTTCTTATTAAACTTTTCTGTCTCTATATTTTTAAATTATTTTCATCTCTCTTCTTTCTTTCTCTCTTTCCAGATAAAAGGATAACATTGTAAAGTAATCATTAATTATGTTATACTCCTCCGGTCCTTATT